ATTGCATGAGACAATCCCTTAAAGTATTCTGCCTGGTAAGTGTTCAATAAAGATTGGCCCCTATTCTTCTTAGTATCTTATTGCAGAGAGTCAGAGAATCTTTTGTCACTGGGTGATCCTGGAATGATTCCCCAGAAAGGGGGTCATGAACTGGGTTTGAAGGCTAAATTCTCGGTTTGGCATTCAGTTAGTCGGAGGCACCAGCTGCACCAGTTGGTCGGTCCCTCAGCATCAGGGCGCTGCTCTGTGCCTGGCGCTCAGGGACTGAGAGGTGAAGGCCGGCTGCAGATCGCGGGCCTCCCGGCGGGCAGAGGGAGCCAGCGCAAATTCTGGAGCCGGGAAGGCCGGGATCAAAGCGCTTCGAGGCAGGCCGGGGCGCACCAAAGGGAGGCTAGCGACTTACATCAGCACAGATTCCGTGATGCTCTGCAGACGTCTCGGGGCTGCTGGGCTTTACGGGAACCCACAAGAAAGGAAAAGGCTGGGGAGCAGGCAGGGCGGGGGCACGCGAGGGCGCGCTCGCCCGCCCGCGCGCTCCTGGCGGCGCCTGCCCCGGCCTGGACGCGCCTGGGACGGCGGAGGCCACGGAGGAAGCATAGGCTCTCTTTCCCCCTCCTTCTTTCCCCCCGAATTACTGGAAGGACTGTGTGGGAGAGACCCAGAAGCACTCGGATTTTCAAGCGCAGGGTGGGGGAGGGCCGGGTAGCCGCTGCCGCTCAAAGAAAAACTAAAAGTGCGTCTGTGAGCGCCGCTTGGACACGCGGCTGCTCCCAGGAGGGCGCTGGACGCCCGGACCGCGCCTGACTTTGCAGCCCCACCTAGGAGCTCGCCAGGGCGGCCGAGGACCGTGCGGTGCGGGAGGCGACGGAGGGGCGAGTCAGAAAGTGTCACGATTTCTTCTGCGCTCCCCCCACACTGTCCCCACCCCCAGTTTTCTGGGTTTTGCCGCTGCCGCTGGGGAAAGGGCTGAACGGTTTTGCGTCAAAGGACTGCATTTACTCAGTCCTGCTGGGAGAGGAGCGTAAACACATCCCAGGCAGGCAGGACGCAGGATTAAAAAGAGAGAGAGAGAGATGGCAAAAACGCCAAGCCCCGCGCTAGGTGCGCGCATCCATCTGCCTCCCACTTCTCGCCCCGACCCGCGGAGTTGCGGACGCTGCGCTGCAGGCAGCGAGGGAGGTGCGAGGAGCTCAGCCAGCCTCGCCTCTCCACGCGCGTCCTTGGGGATGGAGCCGAGGACAGAATGTGTTTTATAGTTGTAAACAATGACCCCGAGTATTGTTTAGGATTACCGTATCTTGGGGCCATTGGGGCGGCCAGATGCCGCCAGCCGTCCCGGAAACGCCAGCGCTTTATATAGAGCCACGGGAAAGCTTTGAGTTCCCGGCTGGGTTCTATTTTTCTTTCCTAGCAACACCCCCACTTTACAGATAAGGAGACTGAGGGCCGAAACTGTGATGTGTTACAGTGCACAACGCTTCACAGCCTTCACGCATCTTCCCGCTGGTACATTAAGAGCTGGGTACGAGACTAAGGCAAAGCGTGGAGCAGAATTCGACTTCCTTGACTCCTAGTACAGTGCTCCTCCGGATCATCAACTCTGCAGAAGGACTGAAGTTCCAGAACTGACAAGGGCCTTAGAAGGTCATATCTCAATCCCTTCGTTTTACAGAAAGAAACTGAAGCCCAGAGAGGTTAAGGGACTCGCCCAAAGTCTCACAGCTCGTAAGCAGCACAGCCTGGCGTTCACACTCCAGGGCCTGTGCTCTTTAGCCCGCACCTCGCCCCGCCCCGCCCAGCGAGGCGGGAGAAGCTAGGAATCCGGACTACCTACTGCCTGAACTTCGCTCCAAAACAGCTGAAGACAACGTTGGGGCACGCCCTCTCTCGGGCCTCCCTCTTCCCTGTTTTTTTTTTTTTTTCTTTCAAATTCGTAACAGTCGAGGTTGCTTATAATGCCCGATTACTCCTATTAGATGCGTCCTAATTGCCCAGCATAGAGGGCGGCCGGAATGTCTTGACTGGTTAATTTCGTCTTCAAGGCTACTCCTAACAAATTAATTGCAGGGCCGAAAAGAAAGGGAGGGGGGCGGGAAGCAGTGGGCAGCCAGCCGCGGAAGGGAAAATAGGCAGGCCGGCCCCGCCCGGCGGCGTTGCGCCCCGCCAAGGCCCGGCCGCAGGGAGGCGCGGATACCCAGGGCGCCCAGGGCGCCCGCTGCTCCGGGTGGCGCCGCGAAGGGCGCCGACGACCGTGCACGGCCGCGCCCTCCCTGCGAGCGGCTCTGCGCGCCCGGCTCCCGGCCTCGCGGTGGCGCCGCACTGAACCGCCCGTCTAGCTCTTCAGGACTGTGATTATTTTCTGAAACCCGGCGCCGAGGCCCGCGCGGCGGCTCTCAGGGGCCCCGCCCCGCGCCCCTTCCCCGGGCGGTGGAGAAGGTGGGGAGCCCGTGGCACGCTCGGGAGCCGGCGAGGGAATCCCTCTCCCTCCACGTCACCCGAAAGCGAGGAAACCCGCACTCGCGTCCTCTAACGCAAATGACCATCTTTGGCAACGTGCGCCAGTGGAACAGACCAAGGGCGCGTGGCCCGGGGGGGTGGGGATGGGCCAGGCTGCCTCGGCTCCCCCAAACCGCGCCAGCGGTCCGCTCCCACCCCCGCCACCGCCTTCCTTCCTCGCACGGGGTGTGCGGCTGGCGTCAGCGCGGCCAGGAGCCGGGGCAGATAGGGGAGCGCAGCGCCCGCCTCCTCCTGCGCGTCTTCCTCCTCCTCCCCCTCCTCCTCGGCCTTCTCCCCCCGCCTCCCCGCGCGCTCCTCCCTGCAAGGTGGAGTCGGGTTGACGTGAGGTACAGGGGCTGGAGAATAAAGAGTGTGGAGTTGAAATCGTGCCATTGTAGTGACTCATCTCGGGCAGAGCGCTGGGGCTCCGAGCAAACCAGCGAGCAAGCGAACGGTGCTCGGCGGGGACCGAGAGAGGGAGAGAGAGAGGCGCGGACGGGCGAGGCGGGCCCGTCCGGGAGCGGGCGCCGGGGAAGGGGTGCAGGTCCGGGCGCCGGAGCCGCGGCACCGCGTCCCTCTCCACGCCGGCTCAGCTGGATCCTCGCGGGCTGGGCGCAGGCTGCCTTCTTCTCCTAGTCAAGTGTCCGAGCCGCTCCAAACTCCGGCGGCGAGTCGGCCACAGGAAGTTTATTCTCAGCTCCTTTTCTAAAAGGAGGAAATAGAAGTTTCTCCAAGCGGGCTGCCTTTCTTTCTGCCTTTTTTTTTTTTTTCTTTTCTTTCTTTTCTGCCCTGACATTGGGGGTCCCCAGACCTGGCAGGCTTGACCCGCCGGGTTGATTCCCATTCTTTTTTAATTACCGATTTTTTGATTGAGCCGGCGGTCCAGGCTGGGCTCCGATTGCGCGCGGGGGCGGGAGGGCGCGCGCAGGGGAGGGACCGAGGGACGCGCGGACTTTTTAGAGGGAGGGACTGGGTGGACAACTGGTCCCGCGGCTCTCGCAGAGCAGGAAAGAAGTGGTGTAGCGCTCGGCGCTCAGGGGACCCTGTTCCCGGGGTGCCTCCGCCGAGGGGGACAAGCCCGAGGCGCGGCCAGCAGAGAGCCAGCGCACAGCAGCCGGTGCGCGGCCGCGGCGAGGGCGGGGGAAGAAAAACACCCTGTTTCCTCTCGGGCCCCCACCGCGGATCATGTACCAGGATTATCCCGGGAACTTTGACACCTCGTCCCGGGGCAGCAGCGGCTCTCCTGCGCACGCCGAGTCCTACTCCAGCGGCGGCGGCGGCCAGCAGGTAGGTGCGAGCCCCGGGTGCACCTGGCGGCGCGGGTGGACCCCCGCCTTCCTTTCGCCGCCACTGCCTCTTTTGCTTTCTTTGACCTTTCTAGGTTTGGCGAGAAAATTCCTACGGGCCACCATTATAAGTTCTGAATTCTCATCTCCTGCCCACACCTCCTTTCACCCCCTCTATCCTCGGCAACACTTTTTTTTTTTTTTTTTAAACTGGAGCGGCGATTGGGCTGAAAGAGCCTACAAACCCTGTCCTTCACACTACATCGTATCCAGACAAGCTCTTGGAATTGCAGGTCCCGTTCCCAGAAGCGTGTACCTCCCTCCTGTCCCAGGAATTCATCTCCATTCCCCTCTGTCTCCGTGGTGGACTACCCCCCCCCCCAATTTTTCACGCACGGGCCCCTTCCGACATCTAGGGAACTTATTCCTGCGAAAAAGCCCTCTCCTTCCCCCACCCCGACCCCGCATCTTCTCCTGCCGTTGATCTTAGTTAATTTCGGAAAGAGGTTGGGGACTGGGAAACTGGTTGGACTCCTTCAAGTGATCCAGAGTGAGGGCGAGAGTTGTCACGCAGGGAATCAGGTGCGAAGGTCAGGAAGGAGGAGGTCAGCTTGATTGGCTCCCGCTGCGTGTGCCTGTGTGCCCTGCGCCCATCCACCTCCTGTTAGGGTCGGACTAGGAGCCTAAACTGCCACCCAAAGGGGCACCTTGGGATCTGGGGAGTACCTGGGGCCAGGACGACTGCAGAGAGAAGGGAAGCTGGAAGGGAAGCTCCTCTAGGCTCCTGAATGGTTCTGGAAGCCGAGAAATAACTTGTTTCTAAAGCAGGCGGACTGGTTTGCACTGGTGGGGTTGTGTCTGCCATCTCTGTCTATAACTACCAGAAAGGTGCTGCTAGGTTGGTGGTGCTGGTGGGGTGCCTGCCCTCTGCAGCAGCAACCCCCCACCCCACCCACCCAGAGGCTTGTGAGGGAGCTGACTTAACAAACAAGGCAGCTAGAGCCTGAAGCCCGTTTTGGTCAGGATCTGCCGAGTCTCTAGCCCAGTTGACTGCAGGAAGAGTTGCTCTGGTTAGGCGGTGGCCTTGGCGTCTATAAGCCAGCCAACCAGGAAGGGCTGGGGTGGGCTTCCAGGGAGGAGGGACCCTGATGGAGAATAAAATGGAAACGTGGCTCTCTTTAGTAACTGAGGACGGATCTCTTATTCCAAAGTGGTTCCCCATACCTGGTGGATCCTCAGAATGGCTTTTCCGTGTCTTCTCTCTACCTGCCCTGGTATCCCCATAAGCACTCACTGGAGAGAGACTTGTCAGTGCATTGAGGGTGCAGTCAGTGAATGCACACTTAATAATGAACACTAAGGTGATGAGTTTCAAATCTTGTCCCAAAGTGATTTTGTTTGCTTTCCAGCCCCATTGGTGGTTTCTGTTGAATCCAGCCATCATTAGGCAATGGGTTGGAGTCATTTGAAATCTATTCCCTCATTCTCCAGTTCAGCAGTCCAAAATGTCCCTCTCTGCCTTTCCAAATCAGGAAGGAATCTTTTGATTTCTCATCCGCTCCTTTGGCTGCCGTTTCTGTGGCAGTCATCACTGAAATGTTACAACCTTGCAGCCGGGCTTTGCTTAGACCCTGGGGCCTGGATGGGAAGTCAGACCGGACATCAGTGCCCCGACTGAATAATCTGTGTCACTAGGGCTTTGAGCCCAGGATGTGAGTGGAGGCAATTCCCTGTTTTGGAAGAAAATCAGACAGGAAACCAGAGCTAGGAAGAAGGAAGAGAACTCAGTCCAGCAGAGTGTAATGGGGCCTCATTACCGAAGCAAAAAGCAGCTGTTGGCTAATTCCTAGCGTGCTGTAACACATGAGGATTTTGCAATTAGTAATAACTGGTGCACGGGGTTCTTGCGTATGTGCCTGTCCATTCGGCTCAGCAGCTCAAGCAAGGCGCCTTTCAACCAGAGGGATTGGTAAGGTAATGCCGCTTTGGGCAAGTTTTTCAGCCTGTCCACTCCTGAGGGAGGAGGTGGTGGGAGGACGGGAGAGGGTTTTTCCATCATCCCTGTAACTGGGAGCAGAGCTGTTCTGTGGTCCTAAGAGCTGACGTGAGAAGCTTTTGTTACTTCACATGTCTGTGACCCCACCCGGGCTCAAGGTAACTTTATTGCATACCAGATAAAACCTGTAATCACTTTATTTCTCTTAGCTTCCTTTATGGAGAGACTTTCCTGGCAGTTGGTGATGGGCCTTCCTCCTTTTGTGGCAGCTCAGTGTAAGAGCTCTGGTTTTACCTTGGGCAAGTGAATATTATTTTTTTCTCCTCTCTTTGTTTTTGTGGGGTCTATTATTCCTTAGAAATTTGTTGCTGTTTACTTAGTCTAGTACTTTCTTCTCACTTCATGAAGCTTGGTCTTAACACATGGCCGTGAGTTTCAGTGACTTGAGGGGGGCGGCAGATAACTCTTTGTTAAAACCTCTGTTCTTGTATGTGGCAGGAACTTGAAGCATGAAAAATATTTCCTGTTCCAGTTATAGTTTTAATCTCAGACGTTGGTCACTGGTGATTTGATTTGCCCCTAATAGTTGCACACACACCCCCACCCCCGGCTTTTTCTTTTTATTGTTGTTTTCTCTCTTTCCTAACTTTCCTAGGAAAACACCTCCCAGATATATGCCCTGGCTGACTGCTCTACTCACGGTTTCAGGCCCTGAACATTACGCAATCCAGCCAGTTACACAAACATAGGTCATTTCATAACTTGTTTTCATCAGCTTGGCCCCCTTTTAATGAAAAAACAAAACAAAAACAAGACCCAGAACTTTTCCAAGGCTGCCATTTGTCTGTTTCTCAGATAACTTGTGAAAATAAATCAAAGGGGACAGTTCCTTTTTGGAACCAAGGAATACCAGACTAACTCTCTTCTTTGGCAACCATTCTTTTCCAAGAGACAGACAGACACACATACATGCACACACACACACACAAAATTCCCCAGAGTGAACTTTTGCCAACTGTACCAGGCTGGGACATTCCTCACATCAAAGAACTTTTACCAGAAATGACTGTGATTCCCAAGTCAGCCCCAATCATGCCTCTCTAGTGCCCCCTACGGGACATTCTTAGAAGAACTATCTGGGGAATGTATTTTTCCAGCCCCAGAGTGTTAACTTGGTGAGTTTTCCAAATTCTTAGGACTTTTTTTTTTTCTTTTTAATTCAGGACAAATAAATGCCATATATTTAACAGTGGTTAACTAGGAGTTGCTTGACTCCGAAATGCAGTTTCTTTTCTAATTTTATTTTGTTCTAAATAAAGCGTGGTTGAAAAAGGAGTGCTTTTTTCTTTCTATTTTTATATCTGTTCATTGCCAGCACAATGTCTTCAAATTCAGAAGGCTTCTTTTCTTGATATTGTTTGTAGTAGGACACTGGAAATTGTTTGAGGAGATGGTCTTCAGAATTGGTGGGAAGGTGGGAGGTGTATATTAAGGGTCTGGTGCCCTTTTTATTTTTTTGCCTTGATCTCACAGATGTTGTAGATTAGGATCAGACAAAATGTTATCCCAGGAATTTGTCTGTTCCGCTGATTCTTGCTGGTGGAAGTCAGTGTCACTGGTTCATCAACGTGAATGGGGTGAAGCAGCAGTCACATCTTGTCTGAGGAGCAGTTGAATTTTCCTATCCAAACCCCTGAGTGCATTTCCATTGCTTTATTTCTACCTGCCTCATTATTCAAGGTGAGTGTAGAGTTAGGAGCTTTTGTTTTTTTCTTTCCTGTCTTAATACAAACACACCAGAACTTATGCATCCAAATCAGCTGTTGTCCCCTTCATAATCATTCCTTTAGGAGACTAAATTCTTATTTGGATGCTGTGGCTATTAGTCAGACTCAGAAAGATTTTACAACACCCCTCTTTAGAATTGTCTTCAGCAAATTCTTTTGAAAACCCTCCCTCCTAACATATTTTTGTCTTTTGAGGGAGAATTTAATATTTGGAAGTTATCAAAAGATCTGGCATAGAAGGAACCAAGGGTGATGTGTGAGGTCTGGGTGATCTGGCAGGGTCCGAAGCAGAATGTGACCCCAAATCCTGCTGGTCTCCATCTCAAGAGTCTTCCTGGGAGAGCAGTCGCCAAGACAAGGCACACCAAAGCAGGCACCTCTGCCACCTAGACCTTTCGATTCCCGCCCCCCCCACCCCCGGCCCATTACAGAGGAATAAAGGCATTGATTTTGAGAATTCAGGAGGCTAGGTTTCTCGTTTATCCGTTGAAAGAAAGAAAAAGAATTAGTGTTTTGTGACTATGTCTCTTCCATGCTGTGTGTGGCATCTTTTGTGGCCACAGCATTTCAAAATGACAGCAGCTGCCCTGATGGAGGCAAATAAATCTATTCCCATCCCCAGTTGGTAACTCTGTCCCTCTTGGACTCACTGGGCCAGAGAGGGAATGTGTAAGAGTCGTCTTATCCAATGCCATCTCACCCCCATCATGGGGCAATGACTTGGCCGTGCTCACCTGCTGTGGTTGTAGAGAGGATGAGATGGCCTGCCCTTCCCAAGGAGTGCAAAGCTGTCTTAGGATTTGTGGGGGTACAGAGTGGGGTCTACAGAAGGGTGGAGGGAATTCCGTCTTGCTTTGGAGTGGAATTTCTGTCCAGAAGGGCCCTGGAAGGAAAGACACCAGGGAACCTGGTAGACAACTCGGTATTGGTCACCTTCTTTTCCTTGCTTTTTTCTTTTCTTTGCTGTTCTTCACCCTAGCAGTTAGGTGAAGGAGGATAACGTGATTCGTTCAAGTGAAACTGGCAGGAGGCAGATCACTTGGAAAATGGGCGGGGGGGAATTATGAGTTATTGATGACCATTTCCATGGTGACATTAGCACTGAACCTCAGGAATGAAAGGTCAAAGGTCAAGGTGATGTCTCATATAAAATCTATGAAAATTAGTCAAATTCCACAGAGAAGCCTTTGGAGAACACCCCACGTTTAGTAAAAGTACAGAGCATTTGAGTCAAACTGAACCTCTGGGGCATTTGAGGCAGCATTCGCCCTGCCCTCTCCTCTTCTCCCAAGCAAGTCTCCTGGGATGTTGGAATTTTCCTTTTCCTGTGCTGGGAAACTGAAAAAGGGGTTTTTAAGAGAGAGAACCCAGTCTCTTCTCAGACATGTATAATCATTTCTACCTGTCAAGGCAGGTCCCAGGTATTCAGGGTTTTGATGACTTGAGTGCTTGGTGGCCCAGTCAAGAGTCAACCTGGTGGAGAAATGCCTGGCTGAGGGGATGGATCCTGAACACCAACTCTGATTCCATCTTAAATGCCACTTCTGGGCCCCTCACCCCAGGAGTTTCTGGGATAGGCCCTGCCACATCCATGTCTGCAGGAAAGCAAACCCTACTTCCTAGATCTTTCTGAACCTGAGGCCCTATAAAGTTCAGAAAGGTCATTTCCCCAAGTTAGCAACTTCTGGACTGTAGGGACCTCTCTGATCTGATGAAGCTGGGTAACACTAAAGGCCCCGTGTTCTGAGCTTCCTCATAGGCAGCAGGAGGATACACATACTTACTGAGTGGCCCCAAGGCTCCCTTAAATTCAGGTTGCTTCAGGATAAGGAGGTTCTGCTGCCCAAAGACCCACATCAAGGCTTTTAACCTCAACTTTCGGCTTCAGGTTCTGGAGATTCACGCTGTCTAGTGAGAGTCCATTGTTTGACTCCCTGGGTTAGAAGAATGGTTCTGCTTTTTTGCTTTCTCATTTCCTCTCTTAATTCTTTTCCCTTCAACCTGAGCTTATGAGATGAGAATAATCTTCTAGGACAGAGGTCGCCAAACTATGGCCCAAGTATTTTTGTAAATAAGGCTTAAGAGAGCACAGGCACGCCTGTTTGTTTACATCTCGTCTGCGGCTGTACTCACGCTACAGTGCCCGAGTTGAGTAGCTGCAACAGAGACCTTACGGCCTGCAGAGTCTAAAATATTTACTATCTGGCCTTTTACAGCAAAAGTTTGCCAAACTGCCAAAGGAGGTTGGGGGGAGGGGGGCAATTTGTCCTTTTATAGGCATTCTTGCCCACCCAGAAGTCAACAGGATGACACAGTTAAATAAAGCATTTGGAGGCTCTGCCAGACTGGTATACCACATAGCCATCCAGCACCTTCCATGCTGTCCTTAGGGGAGGAGTTTTCAAAGGAGTGGAGAGCCCCAGGGGGGTCAAGTGAGGGCCCTGGGTTACCTCCCGTAGCCCCCCACCCCCAGCACACCAACATTCCGGTTGGTGTTACAACAGGGATCAAACCACCCTATACCTACAGCTGAGAAGCCCCATCTTGGTTTCTGTTTGGTGTTAACCCATTGGTAGAGAACTGTGATTTCTCCCCAACATGACATGTGACTGATTCTTGGGTCCTTGGGAGAGAAAAATGCCAGGCTAACTCCTGGGACCACAAACTCTGAGGCTCACCTCTTCTCTCCAACCCGTGTCACTTTCTGGAAAATACTTTCAGAGTTGACACAAAACACAAATCTGCCAGATCTCACTTAAAAACTTGTGTGTGTCTCAGAGAGCCTTCTACTAGAGACAAAAGACTTCTTTAGCAGAACCTCAGTCCCCTCTGGGGCTGGGACATTGTTTTCCTTGCAGTTCAGAAGCAGTGTGTTGCCCAGATGCCTTTTCCTCTCTCTGAAACGAGTTGTACATGCATTTAGAGGCAGTCATTACCTACTGCCTTGTTTTTATTGCGTCTTGTTTTGTCTAGACCAAGCTACTGCTGCAAGGAATCTGGCTGATGGCCGGGTATGGCCTTCTGTAGACCTGCCATCACAGAGAGTGGACCGGAGGACCCTCTGAGAGGGGCTGAGAGTCTGCCACTTAGTCCTAAGCAGAATTAGTCTTTTCAGCTTTGCTTCAAGCTTTTGGCTTTCCTCCCCTCGCCTGAAATGGGAGCTCTTTTGTTTGTTGGAATGAGGAGTCAACTTCTTGGGTGCTCTCCTGAGAGGAAAGCTGACAGCCACCCGCCCTTTCAAGGAAGGACATTAAACTGTCCTACTAAATGCCTTGGATGTCTTTCAAACCCAGAATCTGACTTGGGGAGAGAAACAAGAAAAATGTTGGGTGCTTCCCAGGAATGAGAAGCTGGCAGTTCCCCCAGGAGCAACTCCTTCCCACAGACACTTCCAATGACAATGCGTGTGGTGGTGGTGATGGTGATGGTGGCCTTGATGGTCATCGTCGTTGTGATGATGATGATAGCACCTTCCATTTATTTGGAGCATCATTTCTCAACCCTGACGGCACATTAGAACCTCCTTAGTCTTCTTTTGTTTTTTTAAAACACCTTATCAGAACCCCACCCCAAAACAGTGGTTTTAGAACTCTAATGGTAAGGCTGGCTCCTGCATTGGTATTTTTGAAAAGCTCCTCAGAATATTCTAATATTGCAGCCAGGGTTGAGCACCACTGGTGTGCGTTCATAGCCTGTGATTACAAGTAGCTCCTTATTTAATCCTTGTGATAGTGCAAAGAGTTTGGTGTTACTGTTCCCCTTTCCAGACAGGGAAACTGAGTCCCCAGTGATTCACCAAGGTCTCACATCCAGGCCTCCTGGCTCAGATGACCTCCCAGCCTCCCTCCCAATTCAGCATCCAAAGAGAGACATAGCTACCTGGGCTTTAGTGCTTCTGCACACGCTTAGCTTCTCATGTGTTCCCAATGCCCTCTTCCTTATGGCCAGCCCTGGTTGTCTGTTCTTCCTCCTTGAAGATCATTTCCCACTTGGATCCTTCCATGTTCACTGCACCCAGCCCTCCTTCACACACAACACATACTCAGATACACCTGCTACTTTTCAGTCAGCTTCTGATAAAAAGCCCAGTTGTTTTTGCCTTGGGAGATGACTCAGAATCCATTCATTGCACTGGGCAGCCCTCCTCATTGTCTCCCAGAATCCATTGTGCTGGCAACTTCACAGAATCCCAGAATCCATTTCATCCAGGTTAGTCTGGAAGGTGAGGCAGCCCCATCCCACCACCTAGATTGGGGTCAGGCAGGGGAGTGAGCAAGGAAGGGTCCCCAGCTCCCTGAGCTGCAATGAAGTACTCTAAGCTTCACTTTATTTACACAGAGGAACACAGATGTCATCACCAGGGGCAAAGACCATGGCAGAGTCAGCTGCCACTGCTGCTGATACTTCTAATCTTGGTTAGGCTGCAAGAGTAGGGATGCTATAGCATCCGTGCTAATGTCGGTGGGCTTTCATCTGGGCTCAAACAGACCTGTGGGGCCTCCTGGGTGAGAGAAGGTCTGTAGGGACCTTGGGTTGGAATGACCCTGATGCTCTGTCCGGGTGCATTGGGGGTGGATACCAGCACTTGGGGCTGGATTTCAAGACTGGAAAAACAATTCTACAATGTGTCGCATTGTGTGGGAGAGACCTGGCCTCTCTGTCAGACCGAACTGGGTTTGAATCCTGACCCCACTGCTTATTAGAACGTGGCTTTGGATAAGTTACTTAATTTCTCTAAGCCTAAATTTCTGCCTCTAAAATGGAGATAATGGTAGTTCTTACCTCAGAGGGAGAATTAATGGGATAATCTAGGTTAAACACTACTGTGGCGCCTGTCATTTAGTAAGTGCTCAGTAAGTGTTAGTTATTACTGTTGTCATCATTTCATCCCCCAAGTTAGGGAAGAAAGGATGTGCAGTACCTTTTTGTGGGAACAGGAATCATCTGAGGCTTAGGATTCCAGGAGGGGGACTCTCCCTTGAAAATCTGGAAGTTGAGGTGGGGGGGGAGTCTTCCCCTTCTCCCTCCTCCTCGCTTTCTAGTAGCTGCCCCGAAGGAAGGTCAGGCCCAGCTGCTGAGGAGCATGGCCCATTTTAGCTTTGGTACTCTGTCATCATGTTATATTTTAAATAGACTGCTTCCTGCAGCATGTTCCACAGGGCTCTGCAACGTGGTCTGGGCATAAATTAAGTGACAGGGAGAAAACTCAGATCTAGCAGCACCAAAGTTTCCCACAGGCACGCCTGTGAGCTCAGATAGATAGATACATGAATGGGTAGAGAGAGACGCAGTGTCTCTCAAGATGCGGGTGAAGGTCAAGGAGGGCAAGGACAGCAAGGGGAAGTCTGGCAGCAAAGGCTACCACTTTCAGTCTTACGGGTCAGGGGACATCTTTTCATGGACCTGGTTTCATGTGACCCTGATGGGATCACAGCCCCATGATGAAACTGTTTGGAAAGTAATAGAAACAGACATGATAAGCTTCCTGGTGATCTTTGTTGCTGTAGAGCAGTTGGTCTGCAAATCTCCTCAAAGTGTCCTTAGCTGGTACCTGGGGAATAAGTGCAAGTGACCCAGAGGTTCAGGTGGCCAAGATGGGAGGCCTGCTCTCCTGCAGATGGGGGCATAGCTGGCCTGGAGGGTTTCAGAGAGGGCCTGCTGGGATGGGAGCTGCTGAGGACCACATCTGTCCTGGCAGCCACTGGGGATATGACCACATCTTTCCTGACCCGTTGGGGGTGGAGTTTCCAGGACCTCAGTCAGGGAGTGGATCTGACATGGAAGAGTTAAGATCCCCTTGATTCTTGGATGTGCAGGAAGCCCGCCCAGTTATCCTGACCTCGGCACTCCAGGCACTGACCCTACTTTTTGCTGGTTTTGGCCTCCTATCTCGGCTTGGCCCGTTTTGCAGTATTTGTTGGCTCAGTCCTATCTTCCTCTTCATTTCAGAAATTCCGGGTAGATATGCCTGGCTCAGGCAGCGCCTTCATCCCTACCATCAACGCCATCACGACCAGTCAGGATCTGCAGTGGATGGTGCAGCCCACGGTGATCACTTCCATGTCCAGCCCATACCCCCGCTCGCACCCCTACAGCCCGCTGCCAGGCCTGGCCTCTGTTCCCGGACACATGGCCCTCCCGAGACCCGGCGTGATCAAGACAATTGGCACCACGGTGGGCCGCAGGAGGAGAGATGAGCAGGTACAGTTCCGTTCGGGAGCCACATCAGTGGCTTTATAATGCAGAGTGTTTCCTGCAGACTGGTGAGGAGCAGGGTGTGTGTTCTGGGAGCACTGGGGAGATGAAGGAACTCAGGACCCTCATCCTTGGAGGCAGAGCGTGCAACCTGAGAGTCAGGCATCTTGCCCATGTCCTTAGAATCTCTGAGTCTCAGTTTCCTCAGCTGCAAAATGGGGATGGTGTCTTGCCAGCCAGGACTTGCTGCCACTGGAATGAGATAATGGTGGCAAAGCACATGGTGAATGATGAGGTGTCAGCGCATGGGTAGGACTGTTAGGACCTGCCTGCAGCAGTATTCTCTGATTCTTGGTAGAGGGACTGTGGGACAAGCAGCCGATGAACCCTGGCTGGGAGTTTTTGTGGGCTTCTCCCTTAAGTGTCTCCTAGTACCTAACATGGGCAAGAACCCAGCTGTCCTAGAGGGGCCCCCCTCCAGGCCAGTACTGCCCATGGTGTGTCCATCGCCCCTCCATGTCCCAGGCCTCCAACTCGAGGCGGGAGCCTATTTCAAGTGCCTGGGATACACGTTCCGGAAGTGCATCTGGGACCCTGGGGTCTTTGGAGTCTGCTCAGCTCCTTAAGCTCCAGGGACATGCAACAGGGGGGGTCAGGCAACAGCAGCCTTTTTTCCCCTCAAGGGGCTTAGCTTTGAGCAGGAGCCAACCTGGCTTGGAGGGATTCCAGAAAGGGGCGGGGCCTCTGCTCTCTAGATAGCATCTACCCAAGACTCCAAAGGCCCGTCATCTGTATTAACAGAGAGTGGGGCAGTGATGGCCCCCCTGCTTCCCAAAAGAGAAATCAGAGTCATGCATAATTCTAGAAAGGAGGGGATGAGCCTTGTAAGAGCCCCACCTGTCCCCCTTCACAGATGACACAGCCAAACAGCTATCTGGGGCTACTTGGCCAGTGAGTGGGGAAGTGTGGTCTAGAACCAGGCCTCTGGGGTTCCACCCCTCTCCAGTGCTCTTTCTACAATACCATGCCACTGTGAGTCCAAGGAAGGGAAATTCTTTAGTAGCAGAATCCCTTTTTCAACTGAAATGCTAGACTGGAGAATTACTTTGATTACAGCTTTGGAATCCCTTCCCATTTCAGCCACTGTCCACCTCCACTCTGGGATCCCCAGGCCCACAGTGTTCCAATATAAGGACCTTTCAGACGTGGTGCCCAGTGGATAACTGTGGATCCAGTGTCACTACTCCCCTTGCCTGTGTGCTAAGTCACTTCAGTTGTGTCTGATTCTTTGTGACCCTATGGACTATAGCCCGCTAGGCTCCTCTGTCCATGAAATTCTCTAGGCAAGAATACTGGAGTGGGTTGCCATGCACTTCTTCAGGAGATCTTCCCCACCTAGGGATCGAACCCAGGTCTCTTATGTTTCCTGCATTGGCCGGCAGGTTCTTTACCGCTAGTGCCACCTTAGAAGCCCACCACTAGTCCCCAGGACACTTAGAATTACAAGGATCACTGCTTTGAGGAACCAGATGCTTTCACACAAGTCCTGTTCCTCTGAGGACAAAGCTGGGCCTTGTATCCACTACTTGTTGGCTTGTTCTCTTAATGGCAGGACCCTGTGCAGGGGCAACATAGGGAGGTGTGTATAATAGATACTAACAGACAGTTCCCAGGTCCTGTTGGGCTTTTGCTCCTGGGGCAAGTGGCCAATATCCCCCCACACTGTTGCTTCCATACTTGTAGTTATAAATATGCAGTAGCAGCAATTCCAGTGTCCTCTATAAGTGTGCTTCCTTCAGGGAGCTCAGGGTACCAAGCTTTATACTCACTGGTGATCTGGTTTCTCCTGGTGTGTAAAGGACCCCTTATCCTTTACAAGCTAGGCTTGTGAGGGACTCCCAGGTTAGCGGGACAGCCAAGCAAGATGTGCTAAATACTCTTCATTCTTTTGTCCAACTCTTTGCGACCCCATGGACTGTGGCCTGCCAGGCTCCTGTGTCCATGGAATTCTCTAGGCAAGAACACTAGTGTGGGTAAGCCATTCCATTCTCCAAGGGATCTTCCCAACCCAGGGATCCAATCCGGGTCTCCTGCTTTGCAGGCAGATTCTTTACCATTTGAGCTACCAGGGAAGTCCTTTGTCTGGACCCAGGTCACACCAAATTTGCAAAATTAGAGAGGAAGAGACTTTGGAGACTGGTTTTTCTAAAGTTCCCTCTGCACCCATTTTACAGATGAGGAAACTGAAGCCTAGAAAGAAGGGCCTTGCCCAGGCTCAAGCAGGGAGTGGCAGCAGAGCCAGGACTGGAATCCACTCCCTTTGACCTTCAGCCTTGTGATTTTTCCCGTCACACCACCCAGGCGTGCCCTTGGAGACTTTCCTTCCGTTTTTGAGAGAGAAGGAGAGAGCCAGGAACATTTTATCCCATGTCAATTAGTTCAGACCATCATTCGGCAGCTTGGAGGAAGCCTAGGCAGCATCCTAGAACTTGGCTCTTTGGGTTCCTAGCTCTAGGGTCTTTTCTCTGAGGCTCACTTCCGCCTTCCCAGCCTCCTCCAGGGGGCAGAGGCTGTTATGGCGCTGGCCTGGTGCCTCACTGCCCTCCTCCGGGGCCTGCCCCAGAGGCTCCCTCTGAGGCCAGCAGTGGCGGGGAAGGGAGGGTGTGTGTGGCTTGTGGGTGGCTACGTGGTGGTGTGACACACTCATGCTGTAACCATATTGTCACCGCCCCTGAACACTTCCTATGCCAGGAGCTCCCACAAGTTGCCCTGTACCTCACCAGACAGGAGAGAAACTTCTGAGGCACTGGGGAGGCCAGAACCTGTCCAGGGGGGATGGAGGCAGAAGTGGATCAGGACCAGCTCTCTGTCTTGTCTGCCCCTCGTCAGTGAAGGAGTGGGGTGCTAGTGGGGTGCTTCCAGGAGCCCTGGTAGCCTTTTGATGCTGAGCCCTGAACCTGGGGCTGCAACAGGGCCATCGGGCTCTCTCGGTCCCTCTCGGGCTCAGGCTGAGATGGATTTTGGAGCCGCAGGTATTCAGGGCCTTGGCCAAGTGGCCTTTTGTGACCTCAGCCTGTGATCCTCTGGGATCCCACAGAGAATAGGGTGCCCCAGCCTGTGTTCTCTGGGTGTCTGATTGATTTGCTGCTCAGTGAGTGCAGCAAGGGTATCAGAGAAGAGACCTCTGGACTGCGTCGTTGTCTTTCCAGCACTTTCTGGTTTAGAGAGGACTCTCACACTGCATCTCATCTGATCCCTGCAGAAACTTCATGGGAGGCAGGGTAGGTCCTATTAACCCCACTTTCCAAATGAGGATCTGAGGCTCGGAGGGTCGTAATCTGTCTGGGTCCTCCCAGAAGTGCCACATCTGCATTTGGCCCTGAGCCACCTGACACCTCTCAGGAGAGAGACCATGGAGCCATCAGCTTTCCCGGGGAGGCGGAGCAGGGGCTTGAGGAGGGAAGTGGAGCCAGGATCCAGTGTGGGCTCAAAGACCAGGCCTTTGTAAGAGGGTTGAAGACTAACAGGAATGTAATGTTACCAGCTGGATGGGCTCAGGTCAGTGCGCCCCACGTGGAGGCCGCTGCAAGGACAGATGATGCTAGGGAGGGACACGGTGATGCCATGCCCTGCTCTGCAGGCAGCTTCCTGGGGACTCTGGCCTGGGCCCAGCCCACGGAGAGGCTCCCTCACTTGCGAGCTGGCTGGAGGTCCAGACAGCATCCCTCAGTAGGGGTGGCTTCTCTCTCAACCCCTCCAAAAATGGCTTTGGCCTTTTCCCTACATGTCCCTTGAGGGGAGGACTTGGGCCTTACTGCCCCCAGAATCTTCTAAGCCACCAGTACCTCACTTGGCACCTAGGTGGTGTGCTGTTAGGGTCTGATCACTGAAGGAGGGGGTCTTTCCTTTTGAATTCCTTCCTGCCTTGGCCCACAGCCATCTCCTCAAATCACCTCTGGAAGGGCTCTTTGTAAACAGAGTATCAGCCCTGTTGGTGAAGCAGAGTTCTTGCCCTCTGGCCTGAGCTGCAGGCCCCCAACCAGCTTCCTGGTGAGGAGCTAGGTCATAAGCTCTGCAGGCGGATTTTTGTTCATTCGGTGTGCTGACACATCTCTAACCCCTCAAACGATGCGTGGCATGTTGAAGGGCTGGTTGGTTGAATGAGTAGATGTGGTGGGCAGCAGGGTTTTAACCTGCCCCAGGGCTCCGCCTCCTTTTTCCCCATCCTGCCCAATCCAGCACTGTGCCAGGCACACTGGTGAGTCCTCTGGGTTGAACTGCGAGCAGCCAGCACTTGAGGGCTGGCAGAGGGATTTGGGAGTGGGGTGGCTCTCCCGCCCGCCCTCTGGCAAGAAAACATGACCACCCCCCCACCCCGGGTGGTTCTTACTCTGGGCCCAGCTACATAATCAAGTGGGGATAATGAGGCTTGCGGAGCAGGCAGAGTGTTGGGGAGGAGTAATTAGGCCGAGTTGGGAGGAAGCTGCTTAAGTGGGTGGGGCCAGGCCTGGCACGAGGGGACTCTCTGGGGAACGGTCCCCGCTCATTCTCTAGGCTCTTGGCACTGAATCAGGGCCGACATGACACATGCTGCCATCATGCCTGGGCTGGTGAGTCTCTGACCCATGGCTACCCTGCTCTCCCTTCAAACATGTGACATCACCTTCTGGGGGCTGGGGTTTAGTTCTGAGTGCTCTCCCGACCCCCAGGCACCCAAACTGGGGTGAGGTACATGTTCTGGGGCCCCTGAGCCACGTTCCTCTTGTCTTCCTCCTTTGCGCCTGGTCCCAGAAGGGCTTCTTCCCCTACTTACAATGCGGTTAAAAACGGAAAACCTTGGTGAGCCACGCACCCGAGCCTAACCGTGATCCTTGGCCCCGGCCTCTAGCTGTCCCCTGAAGAGGAGGAGAAGCGTCGAATTCGGAGGGAGAGGAACAAGCTGGCTGCGGCCAAGTGCCGGAACCGCCGCCGGGAGCTGACGGAGAAGCTGCAGGCGGTGAGGAGCCCTGCGTGGGGTGGGCGCGCTCCTGGGTGGGCTGAAGCTGGGACCCCAGGGCTCTCGGACCTCTCCCCGCCCTCCCTCACCCCTAGTGACTGACAGGAGGGTTAGTGTGGGCAGAAACATTCCTTCTGAGCACATGGGTCAGCCCTGCCCTGATTTGAAGGAGGGGGGATGGGGAGAAGGGAGCTGGCCTTTATCACCCAGCCTGGACCCAGAGAGAACTGGACGAGCTTCTTGGGCCTGGCACCCTGTCAACCTCAGCACCCAAAGGATCCTGTGCTGAGACCTGCTGGGGCTCCTGGGCAAGGGATGGCAGAGGGTGTCGCCGTTGCCGGCCAGGAACCAGGCAGGCCCAGGCCTGCCCACTCCAGGGTTCTTCTTCCCAGGCTCCAGCCACCCCCATGCCTGCCTGCCTGCCTGCCGCCGGCAGGAGTGGGCCCAGCCTGGCTTCAGCCATCTGGTTCTCTGGGCTTCTCCACCTCTGCAGGGTCTTGGCGCTCCCTGGGTCTCATGGGGATGGATCATAGCCAGCTGAGTTGTACTATCTTGGGGTTTTCTCATATCCTCCGTGGGCGGGAGGGTTCCCCACCTCTGCTCTGAGCCCGAAGCTGTCACCTCATTGGTACCTCATTCTGCCCTGTGAGTCATTCTCCCCCGCTGCCTAATTGCCCCCACCTGGGGGCCCTCAGCCCCGCCCTTCCCTCCCCAAACCTTGACCTGACCGACATCACGTAACTCCCTCCAGGAGGGGCCGTGTGGAGGAAACCCAGAGCCAGGACTGACTCTTCCTGGGTGGAATGTTTTCCAAGTAAGGAGATGAGGTGGACTGTGTCAGCGGTCCTTGCACTGAGCAGCTAGGTTGAAGCTCTGGAAATTGCAATGGCCTTGCACATCCTATTATTTTGTTTAATCCTCCCGGCTACCATTCCCTTGCTTCTACTTCCCTTTGTCCATCCCGGAGCCCTCGTTCGTGGGCCTTAAATGTGTACCGGGTGAATTCTGTGATGCCCGTAGTAGTGTCCTGTGGAGGTGTTAGAGGCGGCAGGAGAAGTGGGAGCTCTCCGATGCCAGGTGGGACGGATCCATTAGTGATCAGCACTCCCCGGGAGACACCCCAGGAGAGCCCTCCCCACTGCTAACCTTTCGAGAAGCCATATCCCCCTGGGTCTACCCCCAGGTGCTTCTGCCACCAGCCCCAGAATAGCCTGCCCCCCGAGGCCCCTCGGTTTTCCTCCCCTCTCTCCCCTTGAAGCCTCACACCCTACGCCCCCGCCTCCCCATGGCCCAGCCACCCAGGCCCCTGAGCCACATCCTGCACAGGAAGCCTCTCAGAAGCTCATGACGTTCATCAGACCCTTGAGACAGATGGAAAGTTTTTTTCACTCCGGAATGTGCTGTACTCTGCTTAGCGAAGCTCTGGCCCATGTCATCTCGTTCTCAAACAGGAATCTGTGTTCGGGAAAAGTGGGGAGGAGGCTGGTGACACGTACCTCTCCATAAATTCCGTGACGACCTCCCCACCCCCTGCCACCACGTGCATCTGTTGCTTCTCTGGCTTTGTGTGAAAGGAGGGACTGAGGTCCTTGCAGAGGGTCCCTGCTGGCCTTATTTGCCCACTTAGGCTGGCAGGGGTCTCATCTGTTGAAGCGTGGGGGCTGAACTGAATGTTCTCCTGGGGTTCTGTGAGTCCTGAAGCATAGGCTTTCTACTTAAAGCAAAAAAAGGGAAGAGGGGCAGGAAAGATCCAGTGGGATGGATTGAGTGCTTCCTACAAGCCACCTACTCCTAGGCTTGTGTGTGCAGGCAAATATCCAGTCATGTGGCTCAGAGTTCAGTGTCGATATGTCCATGGTGAGCCGGAGGGTCTTGAGGAGGCATGGGGGGAGAGGGGTGCAGCTGCCTGCTCTGCTCCCTTCCCCTGCCAGGTCTCACTATTACTCACCCCCTCGGGATACCAGGGGCGGTCTTAACAGAAAAGCATACTAGCACGTGGACTCTGCAATCAGATACATTGGAGTCAGATCCAGGCTACCCTATCTGCTTGCTCTGTGCCATTGGGCAAATGATTAAACCTCTTGGAAACTCAGTTTCATATCAGCACGCAGTCATGGCCACTACAAGGGTTGATTCGCCCTTCCTCCAAGCTGACTTACCTCTCCTCTCAATCTGGAGTTGTGGAAACAGAAGGAATCCTGAACATGCAGGTGTCCCAGAAGCAGTCGGGTGTGAGCTTGCTAGCTTCATGGTTAGCCCTCTGAGGACCGTGTTTGGTTTTCCCTCTCTCACCCAGATTTGACACCCCCGGCCCATCCCCTACCATCCCTCACAGACCCCTCTTCCCCTGCAGGAGACGGAGGAGCTCGAAGAGGAGAAGTCGGGCCTGCAGAAGGAGATTGCCGAGCTGCAGAAAGAGAAAGAGAAGCTGGAGTTCATGCTGGTGGCCCATGGGCCCGTGTGCAAGATCAGTCCCGAGGAACGCCGGTCCCCGCCAGCCTCCGGGCTGCAGTCCATGCGCGGCGGGGCCAGTGGAGGGGTCGGTGCCGTGGTGGTGAAACAGGAGCCCCTGGAAGAGGACAGCCCCTCGTCCTCATCGGCGGGGCTGGACAAGGCCCAGCGCTCCGTGATCAAGCCCATCAGCATTGCTGGGGGCTTCTATGGCGAGGAGCCCCTGCACACCCCCATCGTGGTGACCTCCACTCCTGCCATCACTCCGGGCACCTCGAACCTCGTCTTCACCTACCCCAGCGTGCTGGAGCAGGAGTCGCCAGCATCGCCTTCTGAGTCCTGCTCCAAGGCTCACCGCCGAAGCAGTAGCAGTGGGGACCAGTCATCAGACTCCTTGAACTCCCCTACTCTGCTGGCTCTGTAACCCAGCTCCCAGGGGCGGGGGTGGGGGTCCTCGTCACTGCCTCCTGCCCAGGGACCAGCACCTTCCAGCACTCCAGGGCCATGAGGGGAAGAGGGGGACCCTGCCAGAGAGCTTCCTGGCTCTGGGGAGACCCAGGTGGGATTTGGTGGTGAGTCGCCAGAGGACTTGGATGAGCTCTTGGATGTCACAGGACCTCCTCCTCCCTCGTCCGTCTCGCGAAGCAAATCCTGTTTCTTGAAAAACATTGGAGAACTTGGTTTGGTGGACTCGGGCATCTCCCTGGCTTCTGAAGAGCTTGAAGCTGGTGTGGACCTTTCCTGTCCCTTGGTTCCGACGTGTCTCTGGAGTGATGGCGTCCTTCCCGCCCCACCAAGCATGCTCAGTGCCTTTTTGGTTTCACCTTCCCTCTGTTTGCCCCTTCCTTCCCCCAGTGTCAATTTCACTTCCTCTTAGTTTTTTATCGAATTTGCCATGACATTTCATCTGGGTGGTCTGAATAGTAAAGCTCTTCATTTCTGAAGAGGGGGCAGCAGGGTGACTCTTTGGCTGGGGCTGACTTGTCCAGAAGGGGACAGTCCATGTGCAATACAGAACCTTCCCTCCTCTGACACTTCTGGTCCACCACCATCTCCGGAACTGCCAGCAGGGCTCCTTGAGCTCTCCAGGAGAGGCCACCATCACTGGGAGATTTGGAGGACCCTTCCTCCCCATCCTCGGAGACGGCTTTTGGAGGAGCAGCTTGGCCAGAAGACAGGGTGTGAGTGAGACAGCTGGGGCACGGATTGGGTTTGCCAAATGCCTAATTACCAGGCCAGGAATGGCCAGGAATAGTGCCAACGAACTACACGTTGTGTCCCAGCCAGCCTCTCTTCACCCGTGTCTTGAGTAGGACGTCTCTTGTGATTACCGCCTCGTCATTCTGCCCCGGACCCTTCTCTCCTTCCTTCCTCGGAGCCACACATCACTCCAAGTCCCTGCCGGCTCCACCCTCCCCCAGCCTGCCTCTCAGGGCGATGCCACCCGTGGAGGTTTAATGAGCGTGGGCCCTCCCCAAGCCTCAAAATCACCTCTGCTGTGGATGGAGAGGCCGGGGGAGGAAGGAGGGAGGCAGTCAGAGTGGCGTTTGCCTCGCAGCAGCCCCAGCGCCTGCTTCTCGCCTCTCACCGAGGTGCTGGGCCGTGCTACCCTCTGTGGTCATCTGCTACCTGATGGATCTCGCGCTTTTTCTCTTACACTCCCCTGCCCCCTCCCCCAGTGTGCTCCCCAGGTCCACCAGCCGGCTGTGAACAGCTGGCCCAGAGCTGTTGTTGTGGCTTGCAGCTTACGCGCCATTCCCCAGGGGCTGCTGAAATCAGAGATGAATCCCACTGCAAGAGAGCTGCCCCTTCCCGTGGGGTGGGGGATGGGGAAAGGGGGTCCTCCAGTCCCCCGGGAGCACAGTTCCGCAGAGCTCCGTGGAGTCCCTGCCTGCCACCCCTTGGAGCCTTTTTTTTCTCCCCAAGGCTGGTCTTCCAGCTTTGGCCTCTGCTGGACTAGTGCTATGAGGGAGGCCCCGCTATTGTGATTCAGCTCTAGAGATCATTGTATGATAATTTAAAACTATATAGATATTATTTAAATCAACCCAGTGGGGGTTAAATCTCAAAGTTGGACTCGGGAGAGAGAAAAAGCGATGACATGGTTGCTCACCTGTTCCCTTCACGGACCCAGGCCTGGCACGCCGGCTGGTATTTAATGTTCATTACTCATTTGCCATGCCCTAGACACACAGAATGGAACAGCCCAATGCCTAAAATACACAGCCCACTATGACTGGGAGTGATGTGTGGAGGGGTAGGGCTTGCAGAGAGGAGACTAAAAGAAACAGGATTTTTTCCCCCAAATGCTTTAAATATGTTATTTCCCACATTCCTTGGCTGTGACGCTGCCCCCCAGTTCCCCAGAGGATCTGGGAGGGGCGCTTCTAATAAGATGGGGCCTTTGGGTTTCTGGCTTCAGATTAATCAAGGACACAGAAGTCAGCTAGGAGTAGCAGGAGACAGGCAAAAAGAACTGGGGTGAACTCAGCTCTGAAAGACTTAATCATCTCAAGTGGTGTTTGTGGCCAACTGGGAGCTATTTACTTCTTTTTGAATATATGTATTATATATTTCTTAAATGAAGCTGCTCTCTGGTGTTTTGTTTCTAAAGTCCCTTTGTGCCCCACTTTGCACGGCCCTGATCCCAAGGCAGGCCCCGGCATGTGACTTGGTGCCAGGCTGGACATTCCTGAGACGGAGTCTGGCTTTAGTTCAGATTTCAAACTGCATTGGCTTTGAGACCAGCAGAAAGCAAGAACCCAGCCGACTTGCAGGACTTCGAGGCCTCTGAGCTGTGTTTCTATTCAGGACCCTCTAACTTTGTTCTCGGAGATAGTTTGGCTTCCCCAAAGCCAGAGGTTATTTGGAGAAGGCTGAATATTCACTCTTAACTCATAGGCATATCCTCAGTCACTGCCTTCTGGCTGGTTCTCTAAAGCTGCTGCCAGACACCAGGCCTGCTACTTCCTCCTCCTTCCTTTCTCCTCCTCATCGGGAGCAGCGGCAGGGGGAGCCTTTGGACTTGGGCAGGGAACCCCGTGCCCCCTGTGTCCCCAGCCGTGAGGCAACTGGTGTGGACTCCAGTTGGGCTGCAGGCAGCTCTGGGACAGCATAGGGTAGGCACTCCTTGACAGGCTGGTGTGAAACACGCAGTCCCCTTGGCCACCTGGCCGCCTCTTGGGAACAGCCCTCTTCCTGTCGAGTGGATGGGGATAGCTGCTGACACAGGACAGAGAGGCGATCCCAGGTGAAGCTTAGGCAATTACCAGAACCAACTCAAAGCAGAGAATTCACTGGGGAAGTTTTCAGGAAGAAATAATTTTTCTGCCTGTGAGACTGGCCAGGTGTCTTCACTGTGGCCCATCACACAAGCATCTCAAAGCCAGGAACCATCAGAGGCTACTGGTTCCCTTTCTCAGGCTTTGGGGAAGGGATCTCTCTGTTCCCACTAGGCTCCATTTTAAGGTTGAGCTCAACTTACAGGCATTGGGACTTTTCTCCCCTTTCCTTGATGGACCAACAGTACTTCTTGCAATCTCACCTTGTAACTTTTAGGTTGATTTCCTCCCTTGATCAGACATCCATGTGGCCTCTCTAAGAAGGAAAAGAATAGCACCTACTATGTGCCAGGCACTGTTAGGCACTTTTATATATATATATACTCTCTTTAGGGTGAGACTACATGATGAGGACTTCCCTTATTAAAGGCCCACCACTAATGGATCAACAAAAACACTTGGAGGTGAGAACGTCTTTCTCCAAAGATCCAAGGCAAGATTGCCTTCAGTCTGAGGTTTGTTCTCAAAGACCCACCCCCTACAGTATCCTCCCCCCTCTGAATTTGTTTCCCCTGTGATGTGCTCCTTTGCACTCATTAGATGGTTAACCTGAGTCCTGATAGAATTTGTGGACCAATAGGATATGTGGTGTGTGTAACTTTCTTTTAAAAACTCAAGTAAAGTGGTCTTGCTACTTTCTGCTTGTTGAGTCTTCTTGGCATTCAATCTTAAAAGCCAGCATCTCACTATTTATTGACGGGTTGTGTGTATGTGTGTGTGCGTGCGTGTGTGTGTGTATACATTTCTAGGTGTGCCCATGGTCCTCCTGCACCTTTTAAAAAGGAAACCCAGTCACCTCACTACCTATTTGACATCTTCTCATGCTTCTAGTATATTGGTCATACATCAACAAAGGGTTTTAATTTTCTAATGCTGACATGTTCAGGAGGAGCTGGGTCAAATTTTGAGCAGGGCATGGGAAGGGAAGGGGGAGAAGTAATTGACATTTATTTTATTATTTATTTTAAATGTTTACATCTTTGTAGCCTGAATAGAAACAGATAGCATTAAAATGCTCAGTTCCTCTCTCCCTCTCTTTCTTCTTTATAATTTTTTTTTAATTTAGGCTAATGATGCTTTGTTGTTTCTAAAATGATTTGTGACTTGTGCTGTATAAACTGTATAAAAAAAGGTTCTGTTTTTAAAGATGGTGTGTCATTCCCTCTGGGGACAGTGGTCACCAAGAACTCTAAAAGAGAACATAAGGAAAGATCCTGCTCTGTTCCTCAAAAATTATTTTCTGTGTATGATTAAAAGTTTATTCCATTTATTTTAGTTTGTGGTTACTTGATGTCGAGGAAGAAAAAATTTCACGTTTGTATAAAGAATAGGTATCAGGGTGTCTTTTCTGAAGTGAAAGATGTATATATAGTATTTTGGTATATTGTGGCAAATCAAAAGCTTTGTGCATCTGTATTTGAGGTATGTTGATGATGTGGAATAAAGACTGCTCTAAGATTCTGGAGGTAAAAAAAAAAAAAGTTGTACAAGATTCCTACAGCTTGATGGGGAATTATCTTTCTGAGCACCTTGTCTTTTTTTTTTTTTTAAAGTATTGGTGAAATGGTCCCATTGGAAAGGCTTCTAAATAGGCCTCTCCAGGCAGGACTATGAGCTCAAAAATCTTTGTATAGTTTTGAAATTTGAGGAGTAGCTCAGCTCTGAAGCATCTCTGGTGGTGTTTTGTTGTTCTGTTTTGTTATTTTACTGTAATACAAGCCTACAGTATTTGCACTAAAGAAAGCTTGTTAGAAAAAGCTTGCTGCTATGGAAGAAAGAACATATTACAACTTTTTTTCCTTTTTTTTTTTTGTTAGCTTTTTCACTTTCCATTGAGTAGCTTTTTGTAGAATAAAATGAATTAAGATTGAAGAGCCTCTGATGGTTGGTTTATTCTATCTTCCTATCTTTCCTGTCACTTCTCTTTTTTCCTTCTAGGCTTTTCTACCTTTGGCTCCGTGGGCAGAGTTGGTCTTTTTGTTGGGAATGGGGAAGCAGGGAACAACTCCCTGGGAATATCTTTCGGCAGAATTAGAAGGTGAGCTGCTGGGGGTGGGGCTGCTTAGACCTTCCCCATCTCCTTTCTCATGCTTCTTTCTCTTTACCCTCTCCAATCCCTCCCAGTCCTATTTCCCACTTCTTAGGGCCTGATTCTCAGCTAGCTGCCAAGTACTGCTAAGTGCTAGCCACTAACAGTTTACAGGGCTGTCCCTTCCTGGGGGCACTTTGGATTTTGTTTCAATAAAATCGACTCTGGAGACTTGAGAATCTTCAAAAAGCCAATTTAAGGTATTGCTCAGAGGGTCCAGGTGGTTGCATGAGGTCATGCGCAGGCCTCTGGAAACAACCAAGGCATGTACATAAGTGGGACGATCACATCTCTGGATGTCCTTTTTAAATAGACACAGGTTGGTGGGTGTGGAACACTGAGAAGTGTCAGCCAGACCCTGCTGCCCAGGAAGCTGGGGGTAAATGGGAGTGTCTGTCCTGGGTGCTCTTCCCCTGCAGTGTAAAGGCTAGGGAGGCACATGTGTCTGGTCAGCAGTCAGGATGGTCGGCAGCAGCTGAGCTTTAGGTGCTGAGTTAACACCACTCACTCCTAGTCTGCGGAAGAGGAGCCCAGAGTGAAGTCCTCATTCCTTGGAGGACCCAAGAGCTCTGGACTGTGAGAGTTACGGGCACTTTGAATCCTAGCCCTGCCCCTCTACTCGTAATCTCTCTGGGCCAGAGTTTCCTCTGTAAAGGGGGAGGGTAATGATAGTGCTGTGGGAACCCCATGTTTTATCTTCTTTCCATTTTGAGAAGGCCTGGGGTGTGAGGGAACCGGACATTCAAAGTTCTTGGCACTGGGCCTCCCAGCAACAAATTCTGCCTCAGCAGACACACAGGCCTTGGTACCCTGGGTGTCTCAGTGGTACCTGCATTTTTCTGAGCAGTTGATATGGCTCTTTTCGGTGTAAGTGTCGAGGAGGGAGATGCTGGGAATGTTCACATTGGCTTCAGTCGGCTTTCCGGTTTACGCTGTCCTGAGAGAAGCATGTGTTTCTGCTTGCCTCTCATGCCTAGGTGCTTCTGTCACATTTTTCATCTTCCAGTAACACTTCGAAATCTCCTTCGTTTGTTTGAATTCCCACCTCTTCGCCCACATGGCAATTAGAGAGGTTGGTGATTGCCAGGTGCTTATTAAGTGGAGTCATAAGTAGTCCTGCTTCTCTGGGCAGCTGTAAATGCCTTAAAAGCATGCAGAGAGCTTTTTAGTTTTTTTTTTTTAATTGAGAAAAACAATAAGGGGACACCTCCACTGGGTTTTAACAGGGTCTGTTGGGGAATTCTGCAATTCCACCTGAGTCTAGGCTGTCTTGGTCCAAACTGGTTCAGTGGTCTGGGTTGATGATAAATGCTGTCGATTACTTTTCTAACAAAGTTGGAGTTCTTCGGACTGAGTGGGTTCTCTCCCAGGAAAGACGTCTTGGTGAGGAGCTCCCAGGACCGTCCCCTATGCTGGACCTAGAGTTTCCCAACTGGATGCTTGTCACTGGGCTTTCTTTGTTTACTGGACCGCCGCTGGGTAAGGGAACAGGAATTTCCCCTGGAGTTGCTATTTTCCAAGGCTGTCAGCAATGTTTGTTTCTTGCGCTAGTGAATGAGACTGTATATGTGAAGGCACAAGGAAAGGTATGACGTGCTAAAAAAGGGAAAAAAAAAAAAGGAGACTTGGTTATAAAGTTGACTGATGCAACTTGATTACAGCATAGCCCCTGGGTTTGGGGCTCCGAGCTGTGTTTGAAATGAAAAGGTGTGATTTCCCCTTGGGTCCTGTGTGTTTAAAGGATGGATGGGTACTTGTCCATGGGCAGCCCAACCCTGCTGGCCCAGGGCCCACCAGGCCTGAAGGCTGAGGAGTGCTGACAGCCTTCCCTCCCCACCAGCCTCGCACCTACCCTTGTTCTCGAGCCTGTTCCTCCCCTGACACAACAAAAGGACTGTTTCCTGAGAAGCTGTGAGCTGTTAGGACAAGTCCACCCGCCCTTCTTCACAACTGGTCTTCGCCTTTTCGGGCCCTGCCTGGAGTGGAGAGAAACTGTGACCCCCGACTCTGCCCTCTGGGATGGGATTGTCCTCCTTCCTCACCACGGGCCCCACTGGACAGACAGATGGCCCAGGAGAGCATCTGGGGCACCATCGCAGGCTGTGAGCTGTTGTCTCTGGGAAGTTCCCCCTGGTTTAAAGGAAAAAATAAAACCTGCTCTAGGCTCCACCTCTGGAACTATCAGATCCTTAATCAAACTAAACACCTTCAGAAGTCCTTGTTAAGGACTCAGCCAGTGAAGTAACAAACCAAAATACACACACTCAGCTGGTTGGTAATAGTGCTCAGCTGAGTGTCTCTGAGGACACTTGGAGGTCATGCTTATACATGGGGGGACTCCAGTCCAGATCCAAAGGTGTAGTACAAGGTGTTATGGGACCTTGACTCTGGGGCTGCCCTAGAATATAGCACTGTTGTGCCCTTCTGGACATTTAGAGATGATTCAGTGTTTAGGTATGCAAATTTTTTTTAATTGAGGTAAAATCCACAAAACCATAAAAGCCAACCATTTTATAAACGTCTCTGGCAGTCCAGTGGTTGAAATTTCCAATGCAGGGGGTGCAGTTTGGATCCGTGGTCAGGGTGCTAGGATCCCACATGCTTCCTGGCCAAAAAAACCCCATAAAACAGAAGCAATATTTTTAACAAATCCAGTATTTAGACTTAAGAAAAAAAATGGTCCACATCAAAAAATCTTTTAAAAATTAACCATTTAAAAGTGAACAATTCAGTGACATTTAGTACCTTCACAGTGTTGTGCAATGACCATTTCTGTCTAGGTCTAAAACATTTTCATTACTGTGAGAGGAAGCCCTGACGCATTACACAGTTACTCCCCGCCCCGCTGCCTCCAGCCCCTGGCAACCACCCATCTGCCTACTGTCTCTATGGATTTATATTGAGGCAGAACTTTTGAGAATCCCAATGACTCTATTTTTTGAACTAAAAAACAATCGTGAGACCTTAGCATGGAAAATAATAGCTATGAATAGTGATGTAGTTTCCTTCTTATTTTAGCGCTTTGTAGATTTTATATGCTTACACACACCCGGTCTTGTTCAGAAGCCTAAGAGACAAATGTTGCTGAACACGTTGGAAATTATCAGCTCCAGGAGAAATTCCTTTTCCCTTATGCAGTGGTGTGTCTGGTACGCTGGCAAATACAGTCACCACCTTGATCTACTGCATGAGGCATGCATTTGTTTCTCAAGGAAAGATGGAAAAAATCTGAAAAGACAGATTTTGTTCATGGATAAAAACAGGCACCTCTTTTTGTGTTGTAAGCATAGGAAAACCACATTTAAATTAACTTAAAAATTAATGTAGATGGAGACTGTCACCATCGTATTCTTATAGGTATGATGCAGAAAATATTCATTCAAAGTTATTTTTGTGTCCCTACCAAGTCCATGACACCATGCAGACACCACTGGGGATAAAGTCGTATAAGACTGTTTATACAGATGTTATATAAGGTGTCTCTTTGCCTCACAGTCAAGTGTTTTCATTTGAAATAACAACTACTATGAAGAGGTTTCCCTCAAGGAGGTTGCAATGTGATGGGAGGACAGGGACAGGAAAGACATATTCACAGTAGAATATGTTAAGTGGCTCAGCTTGTGGCTGGTGGGGGTTTCAGAGAAGATTCTGCAGTGGAAGGTTCCCTGGGCTGGGAGGGGAGTGGGGTCTGTACAGGACAGAGTAGAGGGTGGGCATGCTGGGCAGGGAACAGTCTGAGCAAAGATCTGTGCGCAAGGAAAGCTTGGGGCAGCCTTGGGAACCAGGAAGGAGTACCCAGCATCTGGAGCATGGGCAGGTTTGGGGGATGCTGGAAATTTAACCTGAGATCTTAAGAGCCTCAATGACAGGCTTGAGTCTTGCTGTCAGTTGGTCATTCAGCCCAATGTAGTGCCTGTTTTTGCCAGGCTGTACTCTGTGCTTTGGAGATAGAGGTGATAAGCACTCACATGCATACACACACACACACACACACACACACACACACAGGTGATAAGTACTCACATGGACACACACCCACACGCACACACACCCACACGCACACACACCAGCCATTGTCTAATGGGGCGGTCTGATCACATAATTACAAGGTCAGTGAGCGCCTCAAAGACATATAAGCTATTTTGGCTGCAGGTTATCACTGGGACTTTCCTTAATCTGGG